AAAAAAAAAAAAAAAAGTGATATGAAGGTTTGTCTTCTGAGGCCGTGTTTCCCAGTGCTGCCTCGAGCTTCGTGCTCCAGTTTGGGAGTGGTTAGACAACAGTTCCAAATAAAGCATTTGATCAAGACACAATCGGCTGCTTTTTGGGGTAGTTTATCCTCTCTCTTTAAAGGTAGCCTCAACGTCCTGAAAGAAAGCCACCCGACTTTGCACCACAGTGATTCACTCCTCTGTACAAACCACTCACCAATCATAAAAGGGTCGGGTGGAGAGGCTGAGAGCCATACCCCAGTGGCTGCCGTCACGTTGGCCAGGGCTGCGATGATTCTGCCAGGGTCCTTGCTGCTCTCTCTCGAGGCTCTGGGCTGAACTGATAGAAGGGCTGTTGTTGGTTTGTGATCAGGGACATTGATTTGATATTTCCTCTGGGCTGTGGGAAAGTAACTGTTTGTTTCCATCTCATAATACTGTATCTGAAATTAATTCCTGCTTTGTGCTGGACACCCTGTAACGCTCACAACAGTGCTATCAGGTGTGTGAGGTCAGTCTTCTTTACTGATGAGGGGAGGCTGAGAGTCTGAAAGTCACCTGCTAAGGGAAAGCGAGTGTGAACTCATTCCGTGTAGCTGTGTGTGACTGCGAAGCAAGGAAGGCCCTTCTGGATTTGACCAGAGTACCTGTGACTGTATGGAAACACGTCGTTATGCGTTTCTCAAAACCTATAGGATGTACAGTTCAAAGAGCGAGGCCTCATGCACACCAAGGACTTTAGTACAAAGTATCACAGCAATGTTGGCTCATCACATAGAACAAATGGGCCACACTGGTGTGGGCCGTTCCTCGGGGGGCCTCTGGAGCATAAAAGCCCTGCACTTTGTACCGGTTTTCCTATAAACCTAAAACTGCTCTGTACGCTATTCATTTGTAAAAAGCTGTGACCATGTAATATACTCACGGATACCTGTAAACTAGGGGGCAATAACAAGCAGCTGATTCCAGCTGTCTCCAAGGGTAGGTAACACCCCTCCTAGGGATATAGACTGGGTCTCGTTGGTGTATTTGCATATACAGCTTTGAAAAACAGAACGTTGAGTGACTGTCCCATTATATACATATACATATATATATATGTATATAGTTTGTTTTTGTAAAGCCATGAAAACAGCATTTTTTCATGATTTTTCTTTGCTCTTTTAGATCTCGGATAAATATGATGTTCCCCATGACAAGATTGGAAAAATATTCAAGAAATGTAAAAAAGGGTGAGCATTACTGGGATTCTTAGTACCTCCAAATAACATTAATATTTATAACATTTTATAAAACTTTGTTATTCACATGGATTTGTGTCCCATCTGGAAACAGTTATAGAAACATTATGAGAATGTATTTTTTCTTAAATTATCTACATAAAACTGATCTACCTTTCTAAAACATCTTTGTGGATATTTTTCAAGTAAAATTTTTATTTGCTCCTCCCATGCTTGGCAGTGATGAGGTGGCCCCAAGTTCCAGAATGTTAGGGAATGTGCTAAGGATGCTGACAGTCACTAACTCCTTTATTGAGTCCCCTCGTGAGCTAGGCACTGCATTGGGCACTTCACATTAAATTTAATTTCTTTTTTTAATTTTTTATTAAAGTATGATTTAACATACAATCTTATGAAGGATTCACATGAAAAAACAATGTGGTTGCTACATTTACCCATATTATCAATTCCCCCCCCATACCCCAATGCAGTCACTGTCCATCAATGCAGCAAGATGCCACAGATCCACTATGTGCCTTCTCTGTGCTACACTCTTCCCTGTGATCCCCCACACCATGTGTACTAAACGTAATACTCCTCAATCCCCTTCTCCCTCCGTCCCCACCCACCCTCTCCCACCCCTCCCCTTTGGTAACCACTAGTCCCCTTCTTGGAGTCTCCCACTCTGCTGCTATTTTGTTCCTTCAGTTTTGCTTCATTGTTATACTCCACCAATGAGGGAAATCATTTGGCATTTGTCTTTTTCTCCCTGGCTTATTTCACTGAGCATAATGTTCTCCAGCTCCATCCATGTTGTTGCAAATGGTAGGATTTGTTTCTTTTCTTATGCCTGAATAGTATTACATTGTGTATATGTACCACATCTTCTTAATCCATTCATCTACTGATGGACACTTAGGTTGCTTCCATATCTTACCTATTGTAAAAAGTGCTGCAGTTAACATAGGGGTGCATATGTCTTTTTGAATCTGAGAAGTTGTATTCTTTGGGTAAATTCCAAGAGTGGGATTCCTGGGTCAAATGGTATTACTATTTTTAGTTTTTTGAGGAACCTCCATATTGTTTTCCACGGTGGTTGAACTAGCTTACATTCCCACCAGCAGTGTAGGAGGGTTCCCCTTTCTCCGCATCCTTGCCAGCATTTGTTGTTCTTAGTCTTTTCGGTGCTGGCCATCCTTACTGGTGTGAGGTGATATCTCATTGTGGTTTTACTTTGCATTTCCCTGATGATTAGTGATGTGGAGCATCTTTTCATGTGTCTGTTGGCCATCTGAATTTCTTTGGAGAACTGTCTCTTCATATCCTCTGCCCATTTTTTAGTTGGATTATTTGCTTTTTGGGTGTTGAGGCGTGTAAGTTCTTTATATATTTTGGATGTTAACCCCTTGTTAGATACGTCATTTACAAATATATTCTCCCATACTGTAGGATGCCTTTTTGTTTTGTTGATGGTGTCCTTTGCTGTACAGAAACTTTTTAGTTTGATGTAGTCCCATGAGTTCATTTTTGCTTTTGTTTCCCTTGCTTGAGGAGATGCGTTCAGGAAGAAGTTGCTCATGCTTATAATCAGGAGATTTTTGCCTATGTTGTCTTATAAGAGTTTTATGGTTTCATGACTTACATTCAAGTTTTTAATCCATTTCGAGTTTACTTTTGTGTATGGGGTTAGACAATAATCCAGTTTCATCCTCTTACATGTAGCTGTCCAGTTTTGCCAACACCAGCTGTTGAAGAGGCTGTCATTTCCCCATTGTATGTCCAAGGCCCCTTTATCATATATTAATTGACCACATATGGTTGGGTTTATATCTGGGCTCTCTAGTCTGTTCCATTGGTCTATGGGTCTGTTTTTGTGCCGGTACCAAATTTTCTTGATTATTGTGGCTTTGTAGTAGAGCTTGAAGTTGGGGAACATAATCTCCCCAGCTTTAATCTTCCTTCTCAGGATTGTTTTGGCTATTTTAGATCTTTTGTGGTTCCATATGAATTTTTGGACCATTTTCTCTAGTTTGTTGAAGAATGCTGTTGGTATTTTGATAGGAATTGCATTGAATCTATAGATTGCTTTAGGCAGGATGGTCATTTTGACAATATTAATTCTTCTTATCCATGAGCATGGGATGTGTTTCCATTTATTGGTATCTTCTTTAATTTCTCTCATGAGCATCTTGTAGTTTTCAGAGTATAGGTCTTTCACATCCTTGGCTAGGTTTATTCCTAGGTATTTTATTCTTTTTGATGCAACTCTGAATGGAATTGTTTTCCTGATTTCTCTCTCTGCTAGTTCATTGTTAGTGTATAGGAATGCCACAGATTTCTGTGTATTAATTTTGTATCCTGAAACTTTGCTGAATTCAGATATTAGATCTAGCAGTTTTGGAGTGGATTCTTGAGGGTTTTTTATGTACAATATCATGTCATCTGCAAACAGGGACAGTTTGACTTCTTCCTTGCCAATCTGGATGCCTTTTATTTCTTTGTGTTGTCTGATTGCAATGGCTAGGACCTCCAGTACTATGTTGAATAAATGTGGGGAGAGTGGGCTTCCTTGTCTTGTTCCTGATCTTAAAGGAAAAGTTTTTATCATGAATGGATGTTGAATTTTGTCAAATGCTTTTTCAGCATCTATGGAGACGATCATGTGGTTTTTGTCCTTTTTGTTGATGTGGTGGATGATGTTGATGGATTTTTGAATGTTGTACCATCCTTGCATCCCTGGAATAAATCCTACTTAATCATGATGGATGATCTTTTTGAGGTGTTTTTGAATTCAGTTTGCTAATATTTTGTTGAGTATTTTTGCATCTATGTTTATCAGGGATATTGGTCTGTAATTTTCTTTTTTGGTGGTGTCTTTGCCTGGTTTTGGTATTAGAGTGATGCTGGCATCATAAAATGAGTTTGGAAGTATTCCCTCCTCTTCTTCTAATTTTTGGAAAACTTTAAGTAGAATGGGTATAAGGTCTTCACTAAATGTTTGATAAAATTCACCAGTGAAGCCATCTGGTTCAGGGGTTTTGTTCTTAGGTAGTTTTTTGATTACCAGTTCAATTTCATTCCTGGTAATTGGTCTATTCAGTTTTTCTGTTTCTTCCTTGGTCAGCCTTGGAAGGTTGTATTTTTCTAGAAAGTTGTCCATTTCTTCTAGGTTATCCAGTTTGTTAGCATATAATTTTTCATAGTATTCTCTAATAATTCTTTGTATTTCTGTAGTGTCCAAAGTGATTTTTCCATTCTTATTTCTGATTCTGTTTATTGTGTACACTCTCTTTTTTTCTTGATAAGTCTGGCTAGGGGTTTATCTATTTTGTTTATTTTCTTGAAGAACCACCTCTTGCTTTCATTGATTCTTTCTATTGTTTAATTCTTCTAGATTTTATTTATTTCTGCTCTAAATATTTATTATGTCCCTCCTTCTACTGACTTTTTGGGCCTCATTTGTTCTTCTTTTTCTAATTTCATTGATTGTGAGTTTAGACTTCTTATATGGGATTGTTCTTCTTTCCTTAGGTAGGCCTGTATTGCAGTATACTTTCCTCTTAGCACAGCCTTGGCTGCGTCCCACAGATTTTGCGGTATTGATTTATTGTTGTCATTTGTCTCCATATATGCTTGATCTCTGTTTTTATTTGGTCATTGATCCATTGGTTATTTAGGAGCATGTTGTAAAGCCTTTATGTGTTTGTGGAATTTTTCATTTTCTTTGCATAATTTATTTCTAGTTTCATACCTTTGTGGTCTGAGAAACTGGTTGGTACAATTTCAGTCTTTTTGAATTTACTGAGGCTCTTTTTGTGGCCTAGTATATGATCTATTCTTGAAAATGTTCCATATGCACTTGAGAAGAATGTGTATTCTTCTGCTTTTGGGAGTAGAGTTCTGTAGATGTCTGTTAGGTCCATCTGTTCTTTTGTGTTGTTCAGTGCCTCTGTCTCCTTATTTATCTTCTGTCTGGTTGATCTATCTTTTAGAGTGAGTGGAGTGTTGATGTCTCCTAGAATGAATGCATTGCATTCTATTTCCCCTTTTAATTCAGCTAATATTTGTTTCACATGTGTAGGTGCTCCTGTGTTGGGAGCATAGATATGTATAATGGTTATATCTTCTTGTTGAATTGACCCCATTATCATTATGTAATGTCCTTCTTTGTCTCTTGTGACTTTCTTTGTTTTGAAGTCTATTTTGTCTGATACAAATACTGCAACTCCTGCTTTTTTCTCCCTATTAGTTGCATGAAATATCTTTTCCCATCCCTTCACTTTTAGTCTGTGTATGTCTTTGGGTTTAAAGTGAGTCTCTTATAGGTTGCATATAGATGGGTCTTGTTTTTTTATCCATTTCAGTGACTCTGTGTCTTTTAATTGGTGCATTCAGTCCATTTACATTTAGGGTGATTATTGATACGTATGTACTTACTGCTATTGCAGGCTTTAGATTCGTGGTTACCAAAGGTTCAAAGTTAACTCCCTTACTATCTGAGAGTCTAACTTAACTCACTTAATATGCTATTACAAACACAATCTAAAGGTTCTTTTCTTTTTCTCCTCTTTTCTTCTCAGATTAGGTGTCATGTTCTGTACTCTTTGTCTGTCCTTGATTGACTTTGGGGATAGTTAATTAAATTTTGCATTTGCTTAGTAATTAACGGTTCTACTTTCTTTACTGTGGTTTTATTACTTCTGGGGACAGCTATTCAACCTTAGGAACACTTCCATCTATAGCAGTCCCTCTAAAATACACTGTAGAGATGGTTTGTGGGAGGTAGATTCTCTCAGCTTTTGCTTATCTGGAAATTGTTTAATCCCTCCTTCACATTTAAATGATAATATTGCTGGATAAAGTTATCTTGGTTCCAGGCCCTTCTGCTTCATTGCATTAAATACATCATGCCACTCCCTTCTGGCCTGTAAGGTTTCTGCTGAGAAGTCTGATGTTAGCCTGATGGGCTTTCCTTTGTATGTGATCTTACTTCTCTCTCGGCTGCTTTTAATAGTCTGTCCTTATCCTTGTTCTTTGCCATTTTAATTACTATGTGTCTTGGTGTTGTCTTCCTTGGGCCCTTTGTGTTGGGAGATCTGTGCACCTCCATGGCCTGAGAAACTATCTCCTTCCCCAGATTGGGGAAGTTTTCAGCAATTACCTCCTCAAAAATACTTTCTATCCCTCTCTCTCTCTCTCTCTTCTTCTTCTTCTCGTACCCCTATAATGCGAATATTGTTCTGTTTGGATTGGTCACACAGTTCTTTCAATATTCTTTCATTCTTCGAGATCCTTTTTTCTCTCTGTGCCTCAGCTTCTTTGTATTCCTTTTCTCTAATTTCTACTTCATTTATCGTCTCTTCCACCATATTCAACTTGCTTTTAATACCCTCCATCATGCTCTTCAACGATTGGGTCTCCGACCGGAATTCATTCCTGAGTTCTTGAATATCTTTCCGTACCTCCATGAACATGTTAATGATTTTTATTTTGAAATCCCTTTCAGGAAGAGTCATGAGGTCCATGTCATCTTTCTCAGGAGTTGTATTAATAATTTTACTCTAGACCAGGTTCCTTTGGCATTTCATATTTGTATATGGTGCCCTCTAGTGCCCAGAAGCTCTACTCTCTGGAGCTGCTTTGATCCTGAAGCAATGTCGGGGGTCACAGGGGAGTAGTATTGGTGCCTGGGGGGAGGAAAGAGCTGTTTCCTGCTTCCCGGCTGCTATGCCTGCCTGCACTGCCTGAACCAGTGGGCCGAGTACATAAGTATAAGCCTCTATGCTTTGTGTTTGTAGTTGCTGTAGATAGATCTTCCCTCTGGCTGGCCAAATGCCAGGGTAGGGTTTGCCGGTTTGCGAGCCAGGGGGAGCTGGCCGGGAGAAAGGTGCAGTAGGCTGCGTATCACAGAGGGGGTCCTTGGAGCTGTGTAGCCAGCCAGGGAGCTGGAGCACCTAGAAATCATGAAAGCTCCCAGCCTGCTGGGCAGAGTGCACCCAGACAATTTTGTCTACCTGTCCTTTCTTCTGAGCAGTAAGCTCTGTGCAATCCTTGCCCCTTTAGCAGCCCTCTTGCTAAGCCCTTCCTTGTTAGGACGTCTCTCAGACTTCCCGCCTTTCTTTTGTCCCAGAGCAGCTGGATGTGGATCCCTGTTTTCCACAGCGGCTGGAATCTCAGTCTCTCCAGGAATTCTGCCTATCTTAGCTTTCTGATCCCCTAGTTACAAGAGTATCATGAAAGCACCTTCAAATGTAGTTTTGTGCTCCCAGAGCAGATCTCCCAAGTTAGGTGTTCAGCAGTCCCAGGCTTCCACTCCCTCCCCGCTCTGTTTCTCTTCCTCCAGCCAGTGAGCTGGGGTGGGGGAAGGGCTCGGGTCCCGCTGGGCCACATCTTTGGTACGTTACCCTGCTCTGTGAGGTCTGTTCTTTTCTCCAGGTGTATGCAGTCTGGTGCAGTCCTCTTTCCTGTTGCTCTTTCAGAATCAGTTGTATTTATTAAATTTTCGTATTATATGTGGTTTTAGGAGGAAGCCTCTGTCTCTCCTCTCACGCTGCCATCTTTAATCCTGAAATGGCTCAAATTTAATTTCATATTACCTTCCAAGATGGGTGTTACTACTCACAGTGTATAGACAAGGCCGCTGAGGCACGGAGAACCCAAGAGCCTTGTCCGGGGCCAGGTAGCAGGCCAGTGCCAAGGCCGTGAGTCAGGCTCAGTCTGGACTGACTGCAAAGCTTTTGCTCCTTGTCCTGTGCCCTCCTGCCCTGGATCATGTTTTCAATCATAGAACATTGCTTCTTTGTCCAGAAATTGATATTTTTAGTTCTAGTTTACTGAGTGTCTCTGCTATTTGGCATGGGCAAACAGGGTATAGCCTAAGATTTTTTTGGCTTAATTCTAAAGCAAATCGTAATGGGAATCTTCTAGATGGGCCTAGTGGGAAGAATTAGACTTAATAGTAACTCGATTAAACTGAAGATAAGATGCCAGGGAAGATAAGTTGTCAGGGACCTGTGACTTCAGGTCCCATAGATGAATTTTACTGAGAAGGCTTCCCAAGCTGGACTGATGAAGTACTTCTTCTGTAGGCTTACTGGGTTCATTGCAGTAAGCTGCTGTTTATCAAGTGGTTAGTACACACTGAATAATAATAGTAAATAAGCTGTTACTTGAGCTTTTACTTGAGTTCTTCATTTAATCTTCACAATAATCTAACAGGTTAGGCTATTATTATCCCCATTTCACAGATGAGGAAATGGAGGCTTGGGGAGATTTAAATAATTGGCCTCACACGTCCCAGCTAGTGACTGGCAGAGCTAACTGAAATCTGGGTCTGATCCCAAAGCAGGGAAGAATGAGTGGACCTCTCTTGCTTTTACTCCTCCAGGATTCTCGTGAACATGGATGACAACATTGTGAAGCATTACTCCAATGAAGACACCTTTCAGCTGCAGATCGAAGAAGCAGGAGGGTCGTACAAACTCACCCTCACTGAGATCTAAGGGCGTCCCAGCCCACAGCTCCCAGGAGTTTAGTAAAGGTGCCACGTAGGTCTTACTGGTGGGCAAGCCACAGGTCCACCAGTCAGCTGCCTTCCAGACGCAGGTGGATGTCAACGGAAGGGCTTCCTTTCGAGTTGGAGATGGCGCTGCATTTGGCTTAGACATAGCATTGAATAAATTGCATTGGCGTTTTTCAGATGACAGAGCAATTCATATACCATTATGTTTTAATTTTCTGATATAAATACTTAGGATTAGAAATGAAAACTCTGTTCCAAGATTGAATAGGCCATCCTGGAACCTTTAAGATATCTGTTACATTATTTATAAAAATATCTTGTCTCTTCAAAGTCAGTGGGCCTGCTCACTACTGTAAGTCAGAAAAGGCAATGGGCTTGGCTTTAAGGATTTTGTGCCCTTGCCTGAACTCAGTGTAACTGACTGCCTCAGGTTAGTGGGGGTGGCATCCAGAGAGGGAAGGATGCGCCCTGTCTCCCTCTGCTCTCTTCCCCCAGTAAATGTTTACTCAAATAGGGCATGTTACTGAAATCTTCCTTTGCCACTTTTTTGAACATAGCAACTGCCTTTCTTGTGAAGAACTTAAATGGGTTACAGTATGAATCAGTTAAGCTAAAGCTGCATTGTATATAAGTGCAATACATTTTTGAAGGCCTGTGTCTGTAAATGTGTACATTCATGTCTTATTATATAAATAGATAATATATAAATACACTATCTGTGTACATATAATGAAGAGATGCAATAAGGTCTACTTTAAAGACTTTCCCTAGACGAAAGGTTAAGTTATTTTTGATAATGTATACCAAGCAGATAGAGTACTGTGCTTAGTGGAACCCACTGAAATGCTTTCTGTGTTTTCCCAAACACAGCAGTCATTCTGTAGCATAGCAAAGCCTTCTCAAATGACAGATTCTGTTTGCTCTTGAGAATGTTCTTAATTGGACTCCTGCATTGTTCAACAAATGAAGTAAAGGAAAAACACTACTGCAGTTCATGTCTGTTTGTATGCAACTTATCAGTCATGTACCTGCTAGAGTGAACACACCATGGTCGTTAGAGCCTCATACTGTGGTTACTGTGTGACCACAACTCAGGCATGCAACTCAGAACGCAGGCTTCCCAATTTTCCTGCTAGAAGTGACTTCTGGTTTATCATGTGTCAGAGCCTTCAAGCTTTGATTATTTTGTATGCTAACAGTTCTAAAAAGGATTCATGAACTTACAAGACTATGTTACTATGGCAAGGGAACATTTTGTCACATGTTTAAATATATAAAAATATTAAAAAGTGTCATTTTATAACAAAATCACGGGTATCTAGGTTCAGGGAGCTAGAATAGGTCATTTGTATAAGTAGGACTCTTATGTTAAAATACTCTAATGAAGTATGTGAATTAAATTGTTGGTTTTTTAAGATAAGATACCATGGGACACGGGTCACATACCAATATTTTATATTTTGTTTTATGAAATCGGTTTTGTCTTACTGTTTTTAATTGTATCATTGAAGAAGATGTATTTTAAACCAAAGGGATTAAATTTTGTATGTCTATTTCATAATATGTCATTTTGTGTTGTTCAGTTTGACTTGACCCTTTCATCAGTCAGTAAGGCAAAATTTGATATCTTAAAACAGTAGAGCTGAAAAGAATCTCCTGAGCTTTCTCCTCATTTCCCAGCATGTGCACTCAGGTCTCTTCCTTCCTCTTGATGTCTCCTTACAGGTGTCTGAAATGATCCAAGTAATCGTTAAGTTAAGGGAGCCCTGAATGATTTTTCAACTATTACCAAAATTTAACCACTAACACTGAAGGTAAACACTTTCAGACCTAAAATCTTAAGTGTTCTGAATTTTTTGAACCAAAAATCTGCCAGTAATGTTTCAGTTCATCAGAATTTCTAAAACAGTTGTTACGAGCATATTCAGGTAATCCAGGGCCTAAATGTGATGGGCACGAAAATATATTTCAAGTGAAGATATAATCAAATTAATGGAGTAAACTCCCTGTTAAGAGTCCCTGCAACATCTCTGCAGTTTTCACTCTAATCCTTGGGCCACGGACCCAGAACCCTTAGGGGCCGACTCCACTCCTGGTCATCCAGCGGTTCCAGAGCCTAGCTCAGCATGTCAGGCCCATGGAGTGGCACCCACTCGTCCTCTCCAGGGGAGCTTTCCTTGGGCTCTGCCTTTTCCAAGGCTCCTGGGGCTCCCTGACACTCCCCCTGCCCATGCTCGGCTGCATCGCATTACCTCTCTGTCACATAGCTCTTCTTCCTGTCTGCGTGGGGGGGAGGGCTTCCCCTGATCTCACAGCCTGTCTCCTTGCATCTCTGGCATACAACCCCATGCTAGTTATGAAGCAGGTGCTCAGTAAATGATTTTGTAATGAGTTAGTGACTAGTCAGAGCCCTTGAGGAGCCTAGTCACTTGCAAGGCCTGGGCCAGTAGGACATAGAGGATGAGGCATCTGTTTGACTTGGCAGCAGTCAGTAAAGCAGAAGTCCTGAGACATAGTTTCCAGGGGCCTCCCAAGACTAGCAGGGGATGGGGTCTTAGGAGGAAGTGCCCACAGGTGAGGGAGCCATGGGCTGCACAGGGCACCCCGTTCATGTCCCCGTGCCTCCGTTCACCCTGGGGGAAGCAGTGCTGCAGTTAAAGCCATCCAGCATCAACTACCTGCATCATCCTGTTGTACTGGTCACCGAAGCCCCAGGCTGTCACAGCACCTGTGGGGTGACAGGTGCACAAGGCTGTCCATCTTCCGTCTCTCACACACACACCCTTGGCCCTGAACTCATTTAGCCATTACCCCTTACCCCTTCAGATGCTTTAGTCAAGTTCTGTTTTATTTGTCTTATTATGAATGGAACACATATCAAGAGAAAAAAGCATAAGCTGTTAGAATGAATGTCAGAGCTCCACAAGATGGGGATAAATTTCCTACCTGCCCAGTCCTGCTCCCTAAAGATCACCACTGGTGATTTCTCCAAGGGGATGTAAGGATCCCTTGTGTTAACTCAGGTGTACTATTCACACCGTTTTACAAATGTTTTCATTTATTGCTATACTTTACACACATGTTCTTTATTTTATGGTATCATTAGTATACAATCACATGAGCAACATTGTGGTTACTAGATTCCCCCCATTATCAAGTCCCCCCCACAAAACCCATTACAGTCACTGTCCATGCGCATAGCATGATGCTATAGAGCCACTACTTGTCTTCTCTGTGCTATACTGCCTTCCCCGTGCCCCTCCCTACATTATGTGTGCAAGTCATATTGCCCCTTAATCCCCTTATCCCTCTCCCCACCCAACCCAGTCCCTTTCCCTGTCGTAACTGTTAGTCCATTCTTGGGTTCTGTGAGTCTGCTGCTGCTTTGTTCCTTCAGTTTTTGCTTTGTTCTTATACTCCACAGATGAGTGAAATCATTTGGTACTTGTCTTTCTCCGCCTGGCTTATTTCACTGAGCATAATACCCTCTAGCTCCATCCATGTTGTTGCATATGGTAGGATTTGTTTTCTCTTATGGCTGAATAATATTCCATTGTGTATATGTACCACATCTTTATCTGTTCATCTACTGATGGACACTTAGGTTGCTTCCATTTCTTGGCTATTGTAAATAGCTCTGTGATAAACATAGGGGTGCATCTGTCTTTTTCAAACTGGGCTGGTGCATTCTTAGGGTAAATTCCTAGAAGTGCAATTCCTGGGTTAAATGGTATTTCTATTTTGAGTTTTTTGAGGAACCTCCATACTGCTTTCCACAATGGTTGAACTAATTTACATTCCCACCAGCAGTATACACATGTTCTTTTAAATGACTGTGTTTTACTCCATTATATAGATACCACATTCTAATCCATGCCCACTGGTAGACTTTTAGGGTATATTTTGCCATTACAAACATTGCTGCAGAAAACACAGCTGACCTGTCTGTCCTTATCTACTTGCAAAGGAAAATTGTAGGGTGAGTTCTTAGCAGAAGAATGCTGAGTCCAACAATATGCTCAGTAAATATTTTATAGATCCTGCCAGTTGCCATTGGTATCAAACCAATTCACATTTCTACCCACTGAGAAGGAGAGTTTGTTTGCTGACATCGCACTGCCTTGATTGGTACAGCTCTGCAGGAGTGAAGTTGAGCATTGCCTTATTCAGTGGCCATCTGCACTTCATTTTCATGAACTGGTGCTTAGAGCTTTGAAAGAGTGAGGTGTTCACTGTCCCACTTCCGTGTTCAGTCCGGTGCAGTCTGACCTCTGTACCAGAGACCTAGCCATCTCCTTTAATCCTCACAGCATCAAGTGAGGCGGGGGACAGCACCCATGTCACAGATGAGCCTCAGGAGCAGGAGGGCAAGTTACCAGGAAGAGAAAATATCTGATTGCAAACCTCCCTTTCTCCCCCCATCACAAGCTGTTCCCACTGAAAATGGTTTTTCCAAGGCCCCCGATGACCTAACGGCTTCTCTTATCTCTCTAGGATATTTGACAGCAAAGACAACTTTAAATTACTTTGGCTTTCATGACAGGTGTATCAGCTGGAAGGTTTTGGTCACAAGGAACAGAAACCCCTTACGTTGGTAAAACAGTAAAGGATGCAGTGCGTTCACAGCAGAGAGGTCAGACGGCGGCAAGACGGTGCCGGAGCGCATGTCCCTGGCAACCTGACTTCTTTGCTCCTCTGGGGGCTTCATCCTAAGTTTCCCTCTCCTTATGTGCTCTCAAGAAGATTGCCTAGAGTTCCTAAAACTGCGTGTCTCTTGGTTCAAGTCCAGAAGAGGAAAAAAGATGTTAGGCACAGGTTTCCCAGCAAAATCCTCGGTTTCAGGATCGGGTCATCTCGGTTCACACGCCCACCAGTGAGCCATTGTTATGCCCCCAGGATGAAAGTCTCCTCCCCTCAACCTCACAGCTTTGCAAATAGGAATCAGGGCTTTGAGGAAACTGGAAAGAGGAAGTGAGTCAGAGAAGGAATGGAGGACTAACAGGCAGCATTCTAGTTAATCCTACGTCTGGCTGTCCCTTTGCTGACCCCACACTTGCACCCAAAGTGGGATTGTTCTGGGAGCCAGTCTGTGGTCTCTCCATCGTCTGATGCTCGCTATTTGACCACTGGCAGCTCCCAGAGTTCCTCCTGTCTAGAACTCTCCGCTAAGCTCTAGATCCAACCCCAAGTGGACATCCTCCATCAGGCATTTCAGCTTATTCCCCAAACTCAGCTCGCCTTCTCCCGTGGACTACTGTGAACTCCCGTGGTGGCTACTGTGAATGGCACTCAAGTCAGAAATTGGGGTCCCCTTTGATGCTGTCTTCGTTCATCCCCAGCACCCAGTCAGACCTCCAGGCCTGGCACGCCTCCATCTGCCTCGGGCTCTCCATCTCCACTGTTGGAGATCCTCCTATTGCTGACAGTACCTAACCCACTTCTAAGCCATGTCAACTCCCAGGCCCTCCCAACTGTGGGTCAGACATGCCAGGAGGGCCATCCTGGCCAGGTCAAGCATCCACTGTGCCCCCTCCCTGAGGGCATGTCCCCCAGATGCCGTTTTGCGAGTCTCCAAGCACGAAAATCCTGCCTTTATCACTCCTCTTTGCTTTTGCCCAGGTCTTTCCCATTTCCTCAAGGTCCCCTTTGTTTTGGCTGGAGACCTTCTGCCTGTTGTTTGTGACTCAGCTCACCCTTCACCAACTCAAGGGCTTCCTTAGCACACCCCTTCCTGTGCCCCCAGGCAAAGTATGGACACCCTCTTTGTGCCTCTAGAGCATCGTATTGTAATGACCTGCTTACGTATCCAACTGCCCTTCCACTCCCCCTGCCCCAGACCAAGGACCACGAGGGCCTGTGCCATGCCATCCTGACCTCTGCAGCCAGGAGCCAGCATGCTGACTGCAAGGAGGTCAGCAAATAGTGCTGCCTATCCTGTGCTTTCAGTTGCCCAGAACAAAAGCTTGGAGTCATCAACCTCCCTTCCTTTCACATCCTGTGTCCAGTCTCTAGGAAAATCCTGTTGCCCCCGCCTTGAAAACATGGAGAACCCAGCCTCCTCTCACTGCCATCTCTTGCCTAGACTTCTGCAGTACCTAACTGGACTCGCTGTGTCCACCCATGAGCCCCTTCAGTTTATTCTCAGTCTAGCAGCCTCAGTGATCCTTCTAAAATGTAAACCAATCAGGCTGCTCCTGCTCAAAACCATGCACAGGCTCCCTATTTCATTCCGGAAAAGCCAAAGTCCTTATAAGGTAGGTCTGTGCCACTTATCCTCTGACCTCCTCTCTGACTGCTCTCCCCCTCTCCTCCTCCAGCTGTTCCAGCCTTCATGTTGTTCTTTGAACTTATTTTTAAGTTCACCATCAGCTGAAGATACCACACAGCTGTCTCCTAGGGTCTCATCGCGGTGACAGCCAATGTGGGCCTACAGGTAACAAAGCCACTGCAATTGACTATTAGTTTTCCACCACATCTGCCCAATCTCAGTCTTATTGCCAGGAAGAAAGACTCACATTGTATGAACCCGACTGGACAGCAGTGGCATTTGGAAGAAGATGAGTAAGAGGCTGAATCTCATGCCTGCCCTTCTTGGCAAATAGTTTTCTCCACATGAGGAAACTGTCAGAAGAAGTTTGCTATCGGCAGCAGGGCCCACATCAGAACTTTGCTGCCGGATCCTCCAACCCTGAGTTACAGAGTCTAGCCAATAGGGACGTCGGTCACCTTTACAGCCAGCCCACAAGGCGTCCAGTCAGCCCTTTAGGAGGGTAATGAATCTGGTGGTGGGTTTCCTTTAAATGATTAGGAAGGACATCTGACTTTATTTCCCTGAAAGGTTCGCAGCTGGTGTACACCTATGCTCAGGTTTGAGCGTGATCACACTTGACGTAAGAGATCACTTCTGAGTGGACTTTTCCTTCTGACTTCGACCCCATTCAGTTCCTGTTACTCTTCATAGAAAGTAAGTCCAAACCCCAGGGAAATGGCCTCACACACGAGTGCACACCAGCCCTGTGTTCAGGAACCTTCCAGGGTCGTACATCAAGTTATACAGATAAGGACCATCACTCGACGCCTCACATGACCTGATTTCTGGCCACTGACAAAAAGCGCACTGGCTTGCTTTTCAGGAAAATCTTAAATTATAAATACTAAAATAGTGCAAGATAGTTGTTTTTCACTCCTTATTTCTTCTGGAGGACTTCTTTTCTTCCATCCTTCCTTCCCATTTGTTACGATCTCTACTGCTGACCAGGGTGCTGGCCTGGAGCCACTCCACACCATTCCTCCTGCTCAATCCCACTGAGGGCTGCCTGGGGGTGGCTGCTATTGGAGATTGGGGCTGGGAGCCCCAGGTGTCCCCTGGAGCACCCCACCCAACCCAGAAGGTGCTGGAGGAAAGCACAGGCCAGCCTCTGAGGAAGCCAAGTTCAGACTGAGGGGCAGTCCATGCATTTATGTTGAGCTGGGCCCAGCCTGTCTTGAGGACAGAAGCCACAGGTGTAAACAATGGAAAAGGGCACAGACAATGGGGAGAGGGGTGGAAACTGGAAGGTGCCCCATGGGCCATACCGTGTAGCTCTGGAGAGGACCAGAACATGCTGCTCTGTCCACTGCTGTGCGATGTGGGCAGGCTGCTGAGCCTCTCTGAACCTGTTTGTTTCTTTGTGAGGAGGAGATAATGACCCCTGCCCTCTTACCTCCCAGTGTTGCCTTGAGGGTTGAAGGCAGATGTGGGAGCACTATGGAGATTCCTTCTCTCCCCAGCATTCTCCCCCGGGGCCCTCCTGGAGAGGGGCTGCTGTCCCTGGGGCTGTCACCCTCTGGAGCCTCAGCGCTCCAGCCTGCACAGCCTGCAGGATGTTTGCATACTCTTATCACAGCCGGCCTTCAAACAGAGATGGAGTGCTCCATGCGGGTGCTTGGTAACAGGGCTGTCCATGCTGGCTGCCAGGCTCATTTCATGCTCCATCTGAACCCACAGGACAAGATGTCCACTGCCTTCGTCTGATCCAGAGGGACACGGACATGGGAGAGTGAGGCCAGGGGACAATGGGGCTTGCTGGGGAACTGCAGCAGTGAGAGCTGGCTGGCCTCAGGCCCCAGGAAGGTGATGTCTACAGCCTCTGCACAGCTGAGCCCAAGATCTGAGCAAACAGGCCACCCACAGCGCCCACCTTGGGAGCAGGGTCATCCCTAGACACTGCTGAGGGATGCGGGCAGGACAGGAGGCCACCCCCACCAAAGGAGCACTGTTTGACCTTGGGTTTAGATATCCAGGTTGGGGGGGTGGGCAGGCTGGGTTCTCACAGGGCCTCAGCTCACCCTCAGGTGCCTCACATGGGAAAGAGGTCTGTGTATTTGCATGGAAACAAAAATTTTTTAATTTTGCTTTTTTTAGAGCAGTTTTAGGCTCACAGCAAAAGTGAGAGGAAGGCACAGAGATTTCTCACATACCTCTGCCCCTACACATGCACAGCGTCCTCCACAATCAACATCCCCCCCAGAGTGGAACATTTGTCACAAGTGAGGAACCCACATGACACGTCATTATCATGATCACTCAAAGCCCACAGCTTACATTAGGGTTCACTCTTGGGTGTTGCACATTCTGTGGGTCGGATATGACGACATGTTGATGTGTTTTCATCATTGTATCTTACAGAATATTTTAATTGCCCCCCACATCCTCTGTGTTCCACCTATTCATTCCTCCCTCATAAGTCCTGGCAAACACTGATCTGTTGTCTCCACAGTTTTGCTTTCTCCATAATGTCACATAGTTGGGGTCATACATATGTAGTCTTTTCAGATTGGCTTCTTTCACTTAGGAACATGCATTTAAGGTTCCTGTAAATCTTTTCATATCTTGACAGCTCATTTCTTTTTGGCACTGAATCATCTTCCATTGCCTGGATGTACCACAGATTTATCCACTCACCTACTGACATCTTGGTTGCTTCCAGGTTTGGGCAATTATAAACACAGCTGCTATAAACATTTGTGTGGATCTAAGTTTTCAACTCATTATACCAAGGAGCAGAGGTGCTATCTGGGGAGAAAGACTCTTTAGTTCCTCTGACATGGTTCCCTTTAGGTCTGTGAACATGGTTAAAACAACTGATTTAAACTCTCTGTTCAAGAAGTCCAATCTCTCGGATCCTAGGGGGTAGTTTGTATGGACTGTTTCTTTGACTGTATATGGGCCATACACTTTTCTTTGCATGTCTTGTTGAAACTGAACATCTTAGATACTGTGGCTACTCTTGATACTAGATTCTCCTCCTCCCCCAGAGTTCATTGCTCTTGTTTGTTTGTTCAGTGACTTTTTGGAATGAATTCTGTAGTCTGTATTTCGGATTGTGCATGAACACCTGAAATCTCTGCTCGGTCAGCTTAGTAGTTGGCCAATGGTCAGACAGAAATTCTCTGAAACATGTGGCACCAGTGAGACTCCCAGTCTTTGCAGAGGGGCTCTGTGGGGGTGCTGGGTAACAGCCTCCTCCCTCTACAGGTTGCTCACAACCCTGCCTTAGCTCTCACTTCCTGCCGAGGAGAGAGCTCGGGGCCTCCTCGGGCCTCCTGAGAGTGCGCACAGCCCGGTGACTGTGTGCCGCCTTGCAGGCTCCTGGGAGCACAGCAGAGCTTCTCAAAACACCTCTGCCCTTGTTATTGCCCAGTTTTTCCTTTAAAGCCTTTTGCTTGATCTTTATCCACCCCAACTGTTACTCACCTCCTCAGGCAGTCTTGAAATTGGACAATTTCTTCCAGATATTCTTGACAAATGCCCTTGGGGAGAAGGCTTTTTGCACTGGGTGGGCCCTAAGTCAGGTCAAATAAAGACAGCCTTGCACGTAGGGTGTCCCAGGGAACCAGCAGCCAGGCCACATCATGACCATTCTCTGAAAGAGTTCCAACCCTGCTCTGCCCCTGCCATGGCTGCTGGTTGTTACCGTGACTGGCTTTTGGTTTTCAAGGTTCCCTTGGAGCTGAAGTGTTTCAGTGGGACACTAAAAGGAAGGAGTTATTAATGTACCCCGAAATACAGATTAATCACAAAATAATTATGCTGAGTTAAAGAAGCTGGACAAAAAAGAAGACATACCGTAGGACTCCATCCATGTAAAATTCTAGGAAAGGTAAACTAATCCACAGTGACAGAAAAGTCAATGACTGCCTGGGATTGGGGTGCAGGCAGGGAGAAGCATAGGAGGGGTTACAAAGGGGGACAAGGTTGTGGTTGATGGAGATGCTGGTTATCTTGAGTGTAGCTATAGTTTCAGGGGTACACATATACATCAAAACTAATCAAGCTGTGCACATTAAATAAGTGCAGCTTATTGTATATGAATTATGCCTCAAATTAAGCAGATGTTTTTCTTTCTACAGATTACCTGGATTTACTACCTGAAAACAACTGTCCCCCTTCTCCCCATTTCCCCACAACCCCAGTCCACCTGCACCCAGAGCTGAGGCATCGTGGGTCTCCTAAGTTGTAGGCCACCACCCAGGCCCGCATGGACCCAGGCTCCCTCCCCACTGTAGCTCTAGCCATCCTGCAGCCCCCAGGCCTCTGTTCCTGCTGCTCACCTGGCCTGATGCCCACTCATACCAGCAACCCCTCCCCCTTTACCTTGTTGATGTCCGCTCGCCCTCCAGCTTTGCCAGCATCCCCCAGGCTGGTCCAGGCCCACCCCTGCCCTGCTCCCCTCCTGCTGTCTGTCCAGATGCTGGCCCCGTTGTACCTGAATCCTCTGTATATTGGCCTCTGTTGGAAGCAGGTAGGCTCTGGAAGGGCAGCAGGACTGGATTTTATTTTCCTCTATGCCCTGGGCAGCACTTAGCAGGAGCCTGGCTTAAATAGCTGCTGCTTGAAACAAAAGCAGCAAAAATCTGGAAACAATCTAAATATTCAACAACTGAGGCCTGATGAAGTGCCACACAGCCACCATTCAGCGGGACACTTTGTGGTCTGACAGGAAGGTTGGGGGGCACCTCAGGAGGTCATGTGGAGTGAAGGGGTGGGCTGCCTGCATGGTCAGGTTGCAGCAGGTCAGCTCTTCCCAGGCTCCCTCGCCCTTGGGCACACTGCCCAGCCCCTTGGCTGTGGCCTGGCCTGGACAGGCTAGCGGAGAGAAGGAGCTCTGAAACTGAGCACACCTCCATCTGCCCCCTCCGTCTTCCCTGTTTCTCTTCTAACCTCTGCCCACAGGTGTGGAGGGACAGAGCCCCCCAAAGGGCCCTCACTCCCACCATACTCCTATGCTACACCCCTCCACCTGGCTCTCCACTCTTGGCCTCAGCCGTAGGAAGCCCTCCTGTTGGAATCCAGGCCTGAGCCTGAAGAAGTCTGGATCAGAGGATCGGTGGGGGGGCGGCTGCAGCGGGGCCTCCTTTCACAGCTGCCCACACCCTGCCTGTGCTTGGGAGAGCAGATGCTGGCTAGGCCTGCAGGAGGTTTTCACAGCCTTCCCAGGTGGCTGGCAGCCAGGAAGAGGCTGGCCTGTGGGTGTCTGGCCCAGCCGGATGTCGGCCGCCTTTCTCCTGCTGGCGCTGGCGAATACCCCGCAGCTGGCGCGACATAGAGACCTTTTCCCCACTTCAAGCTCTGGCCTCCAGATGATTCCAAGCCCCTGAAGTTTACAGGAGTCTCATGTCACTGGCACAGGGCCTTCCAGGCCATTCTGAGCCTCCCCTCTCCTTGCTTGGGCACGAAGCCACCCTAGTGGGCAGCAGAGGAACCTTAGGCCTCCAGGAGGGCCCCGTCACAGGCCTGCGAGCTGGGGCAGATGGGGGCTGGACCATGGGGCCCACCCTCTGGGCAGCGAGGCTCCAGCAACAGCCCCCATGTTCGAGCCCATCACAATGCCTGCCCTTTCCACCATCAGGCCCATTCCTGGCCCCTGGATGCTGCTGCTTCTGTGGGCATTAGTCCTAAGGGCGGGGGCTTAGTGGCCCACTTTCTCACCACTGCTGACACCATGGGACAGGCCTTGTCACGGACCCTTCTTGTGGCTCGAGCCTGTCACCTGCTTCTAGTTCCCTTGACCACCACCTCAAGCCTGGCTCTTGGCCTGGTAATTGCCAGGCAGAGGCACCCAGAGAAGGGGATGTGCTCCCAGGCAAGCCATGGGAACTTAACAAACTGGTAAGTGTATTCCCCAGGCCACCCACAGAGCCTTGCGGTTGCCTCCAGGTGTCCTGGGTCTGACCCCTTCCCAAGCCAGGCTCCTGCTCCAGGAAATGCGCTGGCCGCCACCACCACCCCCTGCCACCTTCCACCCCTGCACCTGCCTAGCTCATGGGTGGCTGCTCTCCCTGCCTTCCTGCCCCTGAAGGCTTACGGGCTGTGAGGAGGTGACTGCAGTCCCCAGCTTGAAGGATGTCATACTGGGTTAGGAGGGCCCAGAACTTGGGGATCTGGAACAAGTGAGAAAGGGAATCTAATAGTACTTCTAGAGGTGTCCCAAACATCCAAAGCCATGCAGGAGCCAGGCCCTGCACCTTCCTCCCTGCAGTGGGACCTTTTCAGAGCTCAGTTTATGCAGCTTTAAAATGGGAATGGTGATACACCCAGGCTCCTGGGCTCGTGTGGGACAGGGCTGGTGCGTGCGAGGGACTGAGCACAGCGTGAGCGCTCAAGACATGAGCTAGGACTGCCGTATCAGCACTTCCCTGCACCAAGGACCCACCTTCCACCTTCTAAGAATTACAGCTCTTCCCTTCCTCTCCCCCTCTGCTTCTTTCTCTCACAGACTGGTCCAAGGCCCTGAGGAGAGGCAGTGCAAGGTAAGCATCTGTGCCTGGCCGGGGGACACAGTGACCTAGACTGGGTGTGGGTGCACAGTGGGGTAAGGAGTGCATCCACCCATCCTGGGAGGGGCAAGGAGCAGGGGGCAGCCTGATACAGGGTCAGAGCCCGAGCAGGGAGGGTGGGCAACCTGGCATGGTACCATATCCAAGCAGAGAGGAGGATATGAGGGGCAGCCCAGTGTGGGTGCAGCACCTGAGTTGGCTGAGGGCATACCCAGGTGGAGGGGCAAAGGGGATCCCTCTCGTGGGCAGTTCGGCATGAGCTGTCAAACCCGGACAAGGCAAGGGGCATGACAGGGAGCAGCTTTCTGCACATGCCCTGCTAAGAGGCAGGCAGCAAGATGGCAGCCAAGGAAGACTGCTTCCAGGGCAGGGGCCCAGTCTGATCAGTAAATATACCGTGGCAGGCGGCCTCCTGGCTGTCGGAGCAGGGAGTTACAGGCCCACAGAAGGAGAACGAGAAGGAACTTGCATGTGGTTTGGAAGGGAGAAGCTGTCCCTGTGAACTCAGAGAGTCCCGTATTCATAGACACAGGAATAAATACAGAAGAGGGCAGGTGCACTCATGTGTGCGCATGTGTGCGCGTCATTGCTCTCCCAGGGCCACTGAGAAGGCCGGGAGCCGGGACACTCTGGTAGCAGTGAGCGCACTTGGTGCCCAAGTCTTGGCTGCCAAGTGTCGTTCTCCACCAGAAGGATCCAGGGCTCCCTGGAGAAACAGCCAATTCCAGGGGGAGGGCGGGACACTCACGATGAGCCTGGAGCGTCCTGCTGGGCCAGAAAACAAGGACATGCCCATAGAGCGGAGGGGACATGGCAGAAGGACTGGACGGCCAGCAGAAGGGCCACCACTGGCTTGCTCGAGGACAGTGTGGGCATCAAAATAAATAAATGATTGTAACAGATTATAACACATTGAACAAAACAGAATAGCGCAGTCCCATAGTAATATAAATTAATGAGTAAATCAAATTTTTGATGAGAAATGAGATATTTACATGCCTCAGAATACTTATTAATTACAAAATACAAAAGAGTGACTTTACAGTGGAGAAGCCTGGCAGACAGCACCTCAGTCAAGGGAACATTCTCAGCCATGGGAGAAACCAGCATCAGACACCAGTGGGCGACTGAGAGGAACACAGCGTCCCTTGCAAGATCGTCCTGCCAGAGACATGTCACTTATTTCTAACTGTAAGGGGGCATCAGACAATCCCGATGGAGACGTGGAGGGGCTCAGGGACACCTGAGTGCATCTTCTGCCTGAGAGCCTCGTAAAGTACTGTCCGCTCCAGGGTCTCACCATCAGGGGAAGTGTTTCACCTGGCCAGGGTAGGTAAAGGCATGCCAGTGTAGACAAAAGCCCAGGGCTCTGGAGAGGCTGTCCTAGGCAGTGTCTCCCAAGCATCCCATGGGTACTGTCAGAATCTGGCCAGAGCCAGAGAGCTAGGGGCCGGCGCAAGGCAGGGCAGGGGAGAGGAGAGGTCAGGCCTGCGACCGGATCAGTGAGGGCCTCATGGAGACGGGGAGGCAGAGAGGGGTTTGTCCTCAGGGGCAGAAGGGGACAGAGCAGTGGGGAGACAAGGAGAGAGATTTGATTCCAGTATGGCCAGGGGACCCTGATGAAGATGTCCCTGAAACTGGGGGCATTCAAGCAAAGGAGTCCCACCGCACCCCTGCAGTCAGAGCACTGGGAAGGGTGCTGGCCTGGGAAGTGCAGGGTCTCCCGTGACTGCCAAGGCTGGGTGCAGAGGAGGGCAGGGGTGCCAGGTGCCTGTGTGCCTGCCTGCGGGGGGCGGGGGGTGGTTCATGGCAGCTTTGCTAGTGACCTGGCCGCTGAGCTGGGGAGGGGGGCCCTGGGGGATGGGCTGCCTTGGGCCACCCAGCATCTCTGCAGCAAGTGACACACAGCCTGCTACTGGGACACTTGAGCTGGTCCGTTTCTGCCATCAGGGGGGCATGTCAGCTTGGAGACAGTGGGCTGCCTTCCTAGGAAAAGAGGAAGGGAGGAAGCTGGCTTTACCCACCCCTGGCTGCACCCTGGCACTGTGCTGGCCGCAGGGCACTCCATCAGCTCGCATGCCTCCCTTCACCTCCCCCAGGGCTCCCGGCTGCAAGCAGCAGAAGACTCTCCTAATGTGGGCAGGAAGTTGGGGAGCCAACGTGGAAAACAGCCAAGAGCCATGGCCAAGGCCACACCCCAGAAACAGGCCCACAGCTACCCAGGACACGTCCTGCACGCACTCCAGCCGTGAATGCAGGGCTGCCCACCAGCTCCTGAGCCCTCCACTCGTCACTTGGGGTGAGCCTTGGCCACCATGGAGGGGCACAAGGATTGGCCCTGGGCAAGCCCGCCCCCTCCATGCCTCCTAACCAGGGTTTCCAGAGACAGGAAGGGTGGGGAGGCAGGGTGGCATACATGCACTCTGCGTGCCCACGGTCCCAGGACTCCCAGAAAGGTGGGGAGTCAGCCAGCATCAGAGTGGCAGGAGCTGCCCCCGAGTCCCAGAGGCTGCAGTCTGTGAGCCTTTATGGAGGAGGTGACAGGGGAGCTGGTTGGACAGGGCTGGCAGGACCCCTGGGAGTACATGGAGAGAGCGGGTGGGTTGGAGAGCAGGGCCTGCTTGGGGTGGGCCAAGCTTGACATGGAGCCGAAAGTACTCAGGTTGGGGACCTGGGGGAGTGACAGAGCCGTTCTTCTCCCAGCTTCAAGGGGCTCGGTCCACGGGCAGGGGTGGACACCTGCCCTGCCCCTCAGCTTGGGTCCCCCCTCCCACTGCCACTCCTGGTGGATGTGGGTGCCCCCCCAGGTCAGTTCCCAAACACCTGGGACACTCAAGCAGAGCTCAGCGCCGGGCGCACACTCAGGCCTGGGGCTCTGCCTGTCTCTCTCTGCAACCAGCCATGTTTGGAACTGGCTCGAAGGGAGGACAGAGCCCCTGAGGGGCTTTGAGCAGGGCTTCTAGACCTGCCCTGGGCTGCAGAGAGGTGACTCAGGCTGCATCTGGGCAAGGGGCAGAAGCAGAAGTGGGGACTGCAGAGGAGGCTGTGGTGGAACCCAGACTTGGACAGGATGCTGGGGGTCATGAGCAGGAGCTCCAGGGGAGGCAGCAAGAGGAGAAGCTACCCGGCGCGGGGGCTGGCTGAGCGTGGGGGGTAGGGGGCCCAGCTTTACCGCACTGACCTCCTGGTCTTAGGGGGCAGTGGGCTTTTCGGTGCCCTGCACCCCCACCAGCTGTCCCTAAGCCTGACCTGGCCCCACCCAGTCTCTGCCATGGGTCACGTCCCAGATCAGGGGCCTGGGCAGCAGACTCCGAGCCAGGTGGCCTTCGGAGAAGGTGGCTTTCATTTCCCTGAAGAACCAGAACAGCAAACACACCCCTTTCTCCGTACATCCCGCTGGGCCTCTGCGTGGGGAGACAAGGCTGTGTACCCAGAGGCCAGCCAGAGGGGCTCCCCTCCCTCCCCTGAAGCTGCCGAGAGTGAGGGGCAGGAGGCCAAGGGGGCCTGAGGGCGCACAGAGTGTGTGCACACACACTTGTGTGTTGAGTCACTCCTTTGTATGTTCAACACATGTTCATGCAAATGTTCCGGGCCCGGGGCCTGGGAATGGGATGCTGCAGGGTCCGAGGCAGTGAGTGGCCACCTTCTTAGTTTAAGGGGAAGAGAGCAAGTTGTCACAGGAGCCCACAGATGGGCCCCAGCCCAGAACGAGGGCCAGCGACCACTTCCGGGGGACCTAAGGAGCTGAAGGGTGAGCGGGCGTGTGGGCGGGGTGGACCGGTGTTCTGAGCACGGCATGTCCCAGGGCTGCTCGTGGAGCACAGAGCGCATGTGGACCCTCGGTGAGTACTAGCACAGAAGCCCCCTCGGAAGGTAAAGAGGGCTCCTACTGGGAACTTGCGGCTCCAGACCTGAGAGGGTCACAGGCGTCTTCCTGCCGTGAATAACTGGGAAGCTGAGCAGATTGCACACCCAAGTATTTTCCATCTGATGACTCAGTAGGGCCATGGTGCACAGAGGACACCCCTGAGGGAGCCCCACAGTCTCTTCGACTCCACTCTGGGAGGCACCCAGGCACTTCCTGCACCATAGTGCAGGCGGGCTCTATTGTAGTGCTTGCCAATTTCTGTGGTGTAAATATTCTGATTTTCTTATTGATTTCAAGCTACCAACATAACGCTGGTGCTCCTGGGATTGAGGAGGTGTGTACAGTTGGCTGGTGTGAGCTGTCTCACACGCCTGGGCTCTCCTCCCTCCAGCAGGTGACAGCCTGTGAGGACTGGAGGTCATCGGCTCAGGTAAGGTGAGGGAGCGCCCGGCAGGTGGTGTGTATGGTGGAAACATTCTTTGTCATAGGGATGCAGTTTGGGGCTCAGCTTTGTCTTCAAGGCAGCTGGTAGGGTGAAAAGAACTTGGGAATCAGGAACTGCGCCCTGTCTCCTATCCTCTTCCTTTCAAGCGGTGGAAGCGGGACCCTGGGCTTCAGAGCGGGAGCTGCTCTCCCCACATGTGGGCAGGTAAAGGCCTGGGAAGGTGGCAGCCCGGCTGCCCCAAAGACCAGTGCATTGCCCCAAAGGCCACGGTCCAAAAGCTGGTCAGAGGACAGGGGTTCTAAGCACTGTTGGTCAGCGCAGCCCCTGGGCTGGATTGGACGTCCTTCACCTCAGCTCTGAGCCATGGAAGAACATGCGCCTGCATCTGTGTGAAGCCCTGAGGACAGGGCAGCCTTCTCTGCAGCCCCGGACTCCAACACGTACACACGCAGCAGCCACAGGAAGCCCAGAGGCAGAGGCCAGAGTGGGGAGGGCAGAAGCAGGGCAAAGGCAAGGGGGTGGCTGGCGGCGCCTGAGAACGATGGGCCCCAGGGCTGGGCCTCCGGTCCCGCGTCTCCCTGCAGGGCTCCAGGAGTCTCAGCCCCTGAGTGTGGTGCTCAGTTTTTCTGGTCAAGTTGGCCAGGATCTGGTCCCCAGTTACACAACCCACATCAATCTGGGGTGCACTCTGACGGGGTTTTGTCCAGGTGGTTACCATCCACAGTCAGGCGACCCAGGAGAAAAGGAGCCGGCAGGGGCTTGGCGGGGGTCATGGCGACCATGGACGGCAGGGATGGGGAGAAAGGCAGGGTTCCTGGGCTGCAGAGGGTCTGCGCTGGGCACTGAGGTCATGAAGATGCCCCTGGCTGGTGGGGGGCAGAGAGGGGCTTACAGGTGTCGGGATGATGAAGTAGAATATGGTCCCTCTTTCCACTCGACACTGGTTCACAGTGAGAGCAGGTGTAGGGTGTGGATTTGAATTTCAAGAACCTTAGTGGTGGCACATCTCCGCTGAAGGATGGCCGCAGAGGCGTATCGGAGGGGTCCGCGCCCTAAACGCAGGAGCTCAGGTCATGACCTCAGTCTCCCTGGTTTCAGGTTCTCCAACCATAATGTGGGGGACACTCTCCCTGCCCTTTGTGTGTCCTTTCTTGGGACAGCTGAAATGAAGTCAGCATCCTCTCACATTATCGAGAAGAATTGGAGTGGGGTGTGCATGAGTGTGTGGGCACACTTGAACGCCCACACAGACACAACAGGTGTGTCAGCCTCTTCTGCAGGGGAACACACGAGGTGGTTTTGACAAGCCAACAAAAAGAAACTGGCAAAAGTTCAGTGAGAGATGTCACAAAAGAAGATGTACGCAGGCCCAGAAGCATGTAAAGGGGTGCTCGGCATCGCCAGTCACCAGGGAAATACGAATTAACGCCAGGGTAGTGGCCGCTCCCACCCCCCTAGGGTGGCAGTAGATGGAAAGCCTGGCCACGCCCCCTGGTGGCAAGGGTGTGGGGCAGTCGAGGCTCTCATACTCTGCGGCTGGGCATGTAAAATGGTGGAACCACTTTAGGAAAATGGTTTGGCAGATTTTTGTAAAGCTGAAGAGAGATTTACCGTATGGCCCAGCGACTCCATTCCTAGGCTTTACCCAAGAGGAATGAAAGCATGCTTCCGCACAAAGACGTGAACGTGATCTCCACAGCGGCTTCATTCCCAAACACCAAGCACTGGGAACAGCCCAAATGCACATCAAGGGGAGAATGGACGCACAAAGCCCTCAGCGCTACTGAGCAAAAACAGAAAAGCCCAGATTACTGATAGGGCCATCTCCGTGGGTGACTCCCAGACACGCTCGCTGAGCAAAAGGAGGCAGACGTGAGAGAGGCCATGCCACATGGCTCCACTGACATGAACCTCTGCGGCTACAAAAGGCAGGTCAGCAACCCTCAGTGGGGGGAGGGGTTCACTGCAAAGGGCACGAGACCGCTGGGGGCGATGGGTCCTGTACGCTGACTGCAGTGGTAGTTTCACCTGCATCTGCATCCATCCGCACCCATGGAATTGTACACTTCTGATGGAGGAAGCCCACTGAACATAGGGCACATCTTCAAGTTGGTTTTTTAAAACGTTAACTAAACTTCCTGGAGTAATCATTTACAATATATGTAAGTCAAATCATTAGGCTGTATGCCTGAAAGTTAGTGCTGTGCGTAGATTATATCTCAATAAAACAAAAAAATGAAGGCAAATAGTTGGATTAAAAAAAAGGTTGCTGAAGACTGTGGCCCCAAGCCTCCTCTACTCTCTAACTGGAGTGCCAGCCTTCCCGCAGTGGCTGGGGGCGCCCAGTGAACCCGCACTCGCTGTCACTTGCCTGCTGCGGCCTTTTGGGAGGTCCCCAGCGGCTCCATGCCCAGCTGCCACCAGCCCAGCCCGGACTGCCTGACAGGTACGCACCAGGAAAGGTAAGCTCTCTAGTTCTGGGACACTTTTTCAGTTAGGAGGGTCAGAAATCCCAACTCAGCTGAAGCCAAAGAGGCTGGGGGTGGGCGGCGGGTTTCCCTGCTTGCCAGCCATCCGGGACCCCTGAGCCGTCGGGTCGGCGCGCCGCTAACCAGGTGTGCTCGGCCTCTCCATGTTCTGGCTGTGGCCTCTGCTGCTCTCACATGTTCTCCGCTGTCAGACCTGTGGCCTGGCACATCCTCTAGCTGCCCCGAGGAAGCTCTAGCACTGGTCTTGGCAGAAGCCCTGCTGGTCTGGCCTATGTCGCATCCTCACCCTGCAGCCAAGCACTGTGGCCCAAGAAGTGCAGAATTGCGATTGGCTGGCACGGGCTACATTTACAGAAGGTTTCCATAGATATTATAGGGTGTGTACACAAATAAACAGGAGGAGGCCCTGAGCTGGGCAGAGTTCTAAGGTGGACCCTGAATCTCCCACCCTGGTGTACGCCCTCTATAAACACTTCCACCTAAGTGTGGGCAGGACCCGGGGCTTGCTTCTAGCCCATGACATGCCAAAGGTGATGTCACTCCCATGACATCATACAGGACTCTGTCTTAGCTGAACCTGCTGGCCTCAAGGAAACGAGCTGTCACACTGTGCTGCCTCTGGAGAATGCTGGTGGCAGGGACTGCAGGTGGCCTGTAGGACCTATATGTGGTCTCCAGCTGGTAGCCAGTAAGAAGTCTGCCCCTCGGTCATTCAGCCACAAAGGGAGGATTTCTGCTAAGAGCCCAAGAGAGTGAGAAAGCAGGTGCTTCCTTGGTTGAGCCTCTGGCTGAGAACACAGCCCAGTGGACACCTTGACTGAGGATGAATGAGACCCCAGCAGGAGACCCAGCTCAGCTAGGTCCAGGCCCCCCTCTCATTATCTCATGGAAACTGCGAGATAATAGATGTGCATTATTTGAAGCCCCCAAATGTGTGGTAATTTGTCACTCATCATAGAAAGCATGTTTCCTCTGCAGCAGGGAGTGGCTGGGGTCCCGGCTCCAGCCTCACGTCACCCAGGCCACTCCCCACAGCAAGGTCGGAAACACGGTCCTAAGACACATGTGAGCCTCTTATCCTAGTTAAGTCCCATTGATGCCTGCTACTGGTTTTCAGAATAAAATGCAAACCCTTTGGCATGGCCCACAGGCCCTCAGTGATCTGGCCTTGTGAGTGGGCCTTTCCCCAGCACCCACCTGTCTGCGTTGGGGCCACGGAGGCCGATTCCCCTCAGCCTTCACTCTCCAGGCCTGCATGATCCTCTCATCTTCCTCCGGCTTTCTGCCTCCGCCCCTCAGCACACATCCACACCCACACTCACCCCCCCCCACACAAACCTTTTCCTTTTTCTCTTCCTTTTTGAAACTGAGCTTGAATATGGCCAGGAGACAGATTTCTGACTCTAGGGTGAAGTGCCTGTTTGCTTGGGTCATCCCTCCCCACGGAGTCCCCCGACCCAACCCCCGATGCCGGTCCCCTACATGTCTCCCCTCCGCCCACACACTGTGAACCACGGGATGGCAGGAGAAGCTCACTGTCCCAGGATCCCAGGACCAGCCCAGGGCTGCTGAAGTGAATTAGGGAACAGCATATCCACTCTCTGGTTAGGGGTGGGGCCTGTTAACCCTTTCATGCCTTCTAAATGAGGCACGGTGTCTACACACAAATGGGGCAATCTTGGGACCAGATGCTCCCCAACCTACTCCCTAGTCTGGGCTGCAGGGCGTCCAGAGTCCAGCTAACATTTGCTGGAATCCAGAGAGGCTGGTGGGGCTTTTATCCATGCTTCTGCCAGCCTGTTACCTAACAAGGTCCTCTTATACCCAAAAGGGGAAACTAAGGCTGAGGCAGCGAGGAGCCTGCTTCCTGACAGCACACCTCCTCCCCACTGGCTGCTGGGTGTGTCCCTCTACAGGGGAAGTGGTGACGGGCCCACCAGTGGGCCAGGAGGGATCTTCCCCAGGGTGGGGAGCTTCCTGATCCCGGGTACCAGACAAATCCCTTAGCGGACCCCAAGTTTCTAGCACCCCTGCCCATCTGCCTCCACCAGTGGAATGTGCTGGGCCTGCGGACACCCTTGTTCCCTCCCTTCCTTCCCCCTCAGGGCGTTGTGAAGGGAACCAGGAAGCCACAGGGTTGGGAACGACTCCGAGCCCTGCTCTGAAACATGCGGGCAGAGAAGGGTGAATGTGTCTGAAATGCTCCCAGGCCCGGCAGCAGGGGAGGCTGCTTCCAGGCGGAGGCTGGCCCACTGCCTCCCTGTGCCAGCTCAGAGCCTCTGCCCTACCCCCGAGTTCCACGGCACCTCTCCCTGCACAAGACCCTGCCCCCGCCAGGGTTTCTGGGGGCCCCACATCCGGGGTCATTGACATAGGCTCACAGTGTGAGGCTCCCTGCCCTTCTCCCACAGGGATAAATAAAAAGACACCCCCCACCCCTGAAATATCTTCCACAAGCTGCTTCTGATGTGAGGGGAAGGCTGGTCTCAGCTAAGCCAGCTAAGGTTCGTCCCGCGGCTCTCGAGGTGCCACGTTTCATGCACCACATCTCTAATTCTGAGAACCGCTCAGCTAGGGCGGTATTATTACTCCCATTCCAGAGTTAAAGAAACTGAGGATTCAGGCTCAGTTAACAGGAGGTTCCTGGAGGGCTAGGGCTGCAGGGGGCGCCCAGACGGACTTCCCAGGGGAAGACAGCAAACGGCGGTGTGACACGCACAGTGCTGAACACACTCAGGACCCCAAGCCCCAGCCAAACCGAAGCGTGTGTGTGTGTATGGAAAAAAGTCTGGCCCTGATTACCTGCCTTGGGAAGTAGACAGAAGAGGGGAAGATTTTTCACTTTTTTTCCCATATGATGAGAGCAGTAGGAGGAGAGGCGGAGGCAGAGGGGGAAGAGAACAGTTTAGTTTCTTTTTATGTACTTTTCTGAATTTCTCTGTTTTCTCTAATAAGGATGAACTAACTGCTTTTGTAATAATAATATTAAATATATGTAAAATATCATATACAATTATTAAAATTATTCTTCAGTTGAACCTATCATAAAAACATTGTGTAAGGATCTAGCCAGGAAGCTGAAGCCCCCACTGTTGTCCGCAGACAGTGTCACGTGATGGTCTGGCCCGCAAGCTCGCAGTCCTGGCAAGGCCAGGGGGCAAAGGTGAGCCTGGCCTCTGGGCTGACCGAGCTGTCATCCCCCAGCAGCTGTATGGTTTAGGCACATTCCTTAACCTCCCATCCCCGACTTCTCCCTCTGGAAAATGGTGGTGATGATACCCACAATGAAAAGTCTGTGTAAAAAATTTTTTAAATGATGGGAAAACGTGTGTGTCACCTGTCGGACACACTATGTGATCAGTAGTGGCTAACATGATGAACATTCTTTTACTTTCTATCGGTATTGTTTATCTTGCTCCTATTTCTAATACTACAAATGATAAGTTGAGAGCATGTGGCATGAATTTAAAGTATTTCACTAACAAGTTCCAAAAGTTTGTCAACGTTCACATCCAAGTTGATCCTTTACACATTTTTAAGCCAAGAACTTCCAAATGATGCTTATCTGCTTTGCCCAGGCCTTGTCCCACTCACACTGAGCGAGAACCCTGCTCTTGTGTGTTGATGATCAGTGTGCTGGGTTCCCTCTGAGGGTACCCTTGGCCACCTACCAGAGGGAGCAGAGGTGGCCTTGATCGGAGGGGACCAGATAACAAAGCTGGTCGCCTCTGTCGCGACTGCAGGCAGCATGGTGGTCCCACCCTGACAGAGGGCGGCAGGCTAGGGACATACCCTGGCCCCTCAGGGATCCTGCCCTCCTACACTCCAGGACACCCCCGTGCACCCCGGAGGGTCAGCCTGGCTTTGCGTCCTCATGTTTCAGGGGCTATTTCTCCCAGGCAGCCTGGGTGAAGCAGGTGCGACCTGACACTGCCCAGGGCCGCCTGCCTGCTGCCTCCAAATCCCCTTCCAGTGTCCCCTTCTCCACACCCGGGCCTGGCCCTGCTGCCCTCTCCTCTGGGACTCACCCACTGGCTCCTTTTTGAGTGGATGGCCAGGTGCATTAGTTGTCCACCCTGAGGACACCCCCTGCCAGCCCACCACCCCATGTGCTGACCCCAAAGGCCTGAGGTACAGGGCTGGACGGCGGTGAAGACAGGGGCTGGCAGCCCAGGCGTGTGCAGCTCCCCCATCATCCCCTGTGTCCATGGAGAGCATCTTGGAATTGGACATTTGGGACACACAGATGCCACTGCCTGGGGACTGGCTGAACCTCCGGCCTCACTCAGCCTCCTGGCTCCTCTGCTCACTGACGAAGTTAATGCTCCTGCCTGCGTGATCACGAGGAGGCGACGCAGGAGAAAGCGCCTCATAAATGTATGCGGAAGGGATTCTCACCATAGCCTGAGTGTGCCTTACTCTCTCGTCAGATGGCCTGAGATCTGGGGTCAGAGGTTCCCACCTAGGAGAGAGTTAGGCCTCCTCCTGGGCCCCTGGTGGCGCCCAGGTCAGGGATCCCTGCTCCTGGAGAGCTGTCCTCCCACAGGAAGCAAAGTGGCCGAGTCACCTGGGAGCACCCGGCTCCTCAGGCCTCCTCCTGCGCCCAGGGGCTGGGACCTCGAGGTGCCAGCCAGGCCAGAGGGCTCAGGAAGCCCCGGCACAGGAGGTCAGGGGAACAAGTGGGCTGGTGTGCTGCACACAGCCCAGAACTGGGCCGTGCCGCATGTCACCATTTCCCGCCGGGCCTCACTTCCCCAGGGACCAGCCCTGGGAGAGCCGGTCGGGCAGCTTTCCAGCCCCAGAGAGGATGGGGGACCTGTGTTGCTACTGAATGTGGGCAAGAAAAGATGAAAGGCATTTCCTGAAGAAGAGGAAGGACTGGAGGCTCCCTGTCCCCAGCCCTCAGCAGCCCTGGGGCTGCCATTTTGGTCGTGGGACTTTGAGCTTCAGAATGACTCCCTGGCAGGCTCTACACTTCCTGGGAGGGTGGAGGTGCTGGAACGGGGGTGCCAAGCCGGGTCTGAGTTACGAGGACCTGTGGTTGGTGGCGTATGGCAGACAGCGGGAAACTTAGGCAGGATGTAAGGAGGGACTTTGTGGGTGTGGAGGCTGTTGCTCCCCAAGTGTGGCAGAATGCAGTCTGGTAGCACTGCGGTGTCCTGGCAGGGACCCCAAGGCTCCAGGGACCGAGTGTAGCCATATGCCCCCAGAACTTCAGGACCATCCTGGGGCCCCAGCAACCAGCCCACCCCGGCAGGAATGACAGTCCTGAGGGACGTCTGTCCGGCCTGGCTCGGGAGCATCTCAGGTCAGGGCGTGGGGCAGTCTTTCATCTCTCACAGTCCTGTTACATGTTCCTCCTCGCTGCTCATAGAGGGTGAGAAAGCGTGGTCAGCCCTCCAGCTGGCCACAGACTGTTCCTAGAGGAGAGAACTGCCTGCATTCGTGGGTCGCTGGTTGTGGACAGAGGGTCCCCATGGCATGACTGCAGTGGGTGGGGGAGGAGAGAATCAGGGCACCACGCAGGGAGAGTGATCCCTGGGGGACAGGGAGCTCGGGCTCTCCTGACATGGTCCTTCTAAGTCACGGTAAGTCATCGCTTACACCCTCTCTTTCAGAGTGATCTTCAGTCAAGGTGTCCACGCACTTGGCCACAAAGGATAGGGCGCGTCCAAGGGGAATCCATGCCCAGGCGATGAGAAGAGAAGAAGAACTGGCTTGAGCAGGTCCCAGAGCCCGAGGACAGGGAGGGATGCAGCCCTAGGGGGATCCTGGGAAGGACACAGTTGTCCACGTGGACAAGGGCTGCGCCTGAGCACCTGGGGCTGTGTTACTCAAGTCTTCAGGGGCTCAGAGGGCTGAGGGACTTGGGGTACTGATGAGACACTTCCAGGCATCCAATTTCCCTGAGAGTTGGGGTGTTGGCCCCATGCAACCCCTCCCCTTTCCTGGAAACCCAAGTTCCTCAATCTGGCTTAACAGAGCCTTTGCTCCCAGTGGCCCTTCTTCCCTCCCTGCTCCCAGGATGCCCTCATGCCCAGCTCTCCACGCTCTCCCCTGTGGCCCCTGTGGCATGGATGTGCCATTCCCGTATCCATGTCCACACACGTGCTACCTGGAAAACCCCCTGATTTCATTTTTGACAGTGCATTTTTTAAAAGTTTTTATTTGTAATAATTTTAGATTTACTGAAAAGTTGCTAAGAGAGGTCTGGCATACCTTCCACCCACCTTCCCCTCATGCTAACATTTTACCACGTCCACACATCAGAACCAAGAAATCAGCACCGGGACAGTATTACAGGCTGAGCTGTACACTTCAGTCAGCTCTCCCCAGTCTTCCCATGAATGTCCTTCGCTGTTTCCAGATCCCACCCAGAATACCGCGGTGCCTCCTTCCTCTCTTCTCAGTTGTGATGGCTCCCTGATTATCATGACCTTGACCCTTCTGAAGAGTCTGGTGAGGCATTTTGCAGAGGGTCCTTCAAAGGGGGTTTGTCTGGCGATGCCAGACAGGGGTGATGGAATTGAGGAAAGGTAATGCAGAGGTCAGGTGCCTTCCTCAGCCCACCTCAGGGAGCTGTAATGTCAACACAGCTGGTCACCGGTGAGGTCAGGCCCTGTCCATGGTGTAGTCTGCAAGCTTTCCCCATGGTGGGGTTGCTATTTTCCCTTTCCACACTTTATCTGTTAGGAGTGAGTCACTAAGTCCAGCCCACCCTCCAGGGAGAAGATGGGCCCCACTCCCCGGAGGGGATTGTTCTGTAGGGGAGAATCGCTCCGCTCTGGCACTTGCTTATTCACCATGCATCTTAGCTTTCTCCTCTGTGAGAACTCCATAGCTAAGTGGCTAAGCTCTTCCCCCAGTATTTCATCAGCCCACTGTGCTTTCCTCTCTCATTGCACTTAGGAAACTGTATTCCTGTGAGGCTCCCTATCACAGCACAGGTTTTTAGTTACCTCTTACTCAGTAGCTGTTATGTGGCAGGCACTTTTGCCAAGAATTTATATAAGCATCTTACTTAATCCCAACATTCCTGTAAGTAGATATTTTACCATCTCATTTTACAGGTGAAGAGGGGTCAGAGAGGTTAAGCAACCTCCCCAAGGTTACACAGAAGTGAGCAAACTTCACGAGGGCAGAAACTGTGTCATACCCACCTCAGTTGTCAGTAACTGCCTCGGGAGCCAGTGTATAGACAGGGACTTCAGTCAAGTGTCTTCTGTCCCATGCCCCAAGCCTCCATGGGGCTTCCGCAGCAGCCAGGGAGACATCCTTCCTGTGTGGAAGGGCAGGTGGCCTGACAGATCTCAGCGCAGGCCCCTGCAGGCCCCATGCAAGCCCCCCTGTGAGAGGCTGCACTGGCCACTCTGCCACAGCCTCAAGCTGCCACCCTGGCCAGCCCTGCTGCCTGTCGGGCTGGTGCCAGCCTGGCACTGGGTCACTGAAGAAGCCAGGCTGGCCGTACACCCAGTTTCAGGCAGCTGGCCAGGCTGGGCAGCCGCAGGGACGCTTGGAAGGCAGCCCTCCCGCCCAGCAGGGAGGCTGTTCTGTTGCCCAGTGATGCACTGGCTTCCAAGGCTTTCCTTCCGGGGCTGTTCTCAGGGGGAGGCCCTGGGGCCTCCAACCAGGGACCTTGTCACATGGCAGGGGACGCTCACCAGGAGTCAGTGGGGCCGTGGGTTCTAGTCATTTCTCCGCACACACTCAGATTCGGATGAGTTGCTTCTGTGCCCTGGGTCTCAGTTTCTCTTCCCACAAAACAAGAGCTTTGGACTAGACCAGCAGTTCTCACAGCATGCTCTCTGGAATAGTGATATCAAAACACCTGGAACTTGTTAGAAATGCAAATTCTCAGA